AGGGTGATGGGTTGAGTTGATGAACCTGAGAAATGTGCAGTGACTTGATGGTTTATATTCAGATGACAAACTATCATCTCATCCTACCCTTGCACCTTGGCTTAATGGAGCTGATGCATTGTCTAAACCTTATGAAGTCCTTGAAGAAAGTCTGTGCACTTAGCAAAGTGGTTCTTTGACTCAAATAAAAACTTGGAATATCCTTTACTGCAGCAACAAACCTCATCATGCTGCATTGGTTTGGACTAAAATATGGCTTGGATGGGTATTTGCCAAAGATGACTAAAAGAGAGTGAAAAATTAATGGAGCAAAGCTTTTCCTGTATTTTATTTTTACATTTAAAAAAAATACAAGATTGTTATTTAAAGAGTTACTATTTGAAAGGATTTCAAAAGCTCAACGGGGTTCCTGGCCACTACTCGTTCAGCGTTCGTCCACATCATATTACTTGCTCCTGGTTTTTCCATTTTTCCTCGCTAACTCCGTGAGGGTCTTATGTTGATTTATCGAAGTGTTAAGCATTCAAATGTTTATGCCTTGAACCCTGGATGACACCATCTGCTGCTAATCTGTATTTCTGTTGTTGTCTGCACACAGAAGCCCAGAACAGCTCGGGACAGAGTCAAGTACAAAGACACTGATTTCCCTTCTGGCTCTTCCCGTGTGGCTCCATCTGGATATTTCAAAAGTCACTCTAACAACTTACCATCCATGTTCACCCTTTACAGCTACCTTGTATGTCGTACTCAAAAATAGTAATTGAAAGAGTTACTGAACACAGGGACATGTGCTGTATCATTTAAGCCAAAATATGACTGTAATTTGAGGACCACCTAAGGAGAAACACAGGCCGGTTAATACATGAGTGGTTTCTTCAAGTCGTAAAAACATATTCACAAAGAAATGTAATAGTAACATGACCATGTGAATGGTAAGAGGGAAACTATTCTACATGCAGACATACTGTATAAGAAGCATGTATTCATATTCAGTGTTCCTTTATTTCCCTGTTACTGATGTAAATTGATGCACAGCAATAAACTAAACTGTTTCTCTGCTAAAAGGAAGGTTACGATAATTGTAAAGGCACAAACCCACTGAAAGCGATAATTGATTCGGCTCATTTGATCCTTTATAGGTGCCCTATTGCCCACTGCATGTAGAAATACCAACACCGCAGCATCAGCAGCAGTATTTAAGGAAAAGGTTGCTATCCAGGCAATATTTGCGTATACTATAAATACCTCTTAATCTTTTTCCGCTTATCTTTTTTTAGGGTTGCCAGGGGGCTAGAGCCGATCCCAGCTGACATTGGGCAAAGGCGGGGTACACAACCGGGACAGATCACAGGGCTATAGTATGGGGCAATTTAGAGTCTTCAATTAACCTTAAGCCTAAGGACTTGGAGAAAACCCACGCTGACACAGGGAGAACATGCAAACTCCACACAGAAGGGATGTCTAGCCCGGGATTTAAACCCGGCCCCTCTTGCTGTGAGGCGATAGTGCTAGACACTACATCGTGCAGCCCTCTTAATCTTTTTACTTATCCTAAATAATGAAGATCCCGGTTCGAAACTATAGTTGATAAGATAAAATTACTGATTTGATATGGAAGAAGTAGGACTCTGATGGAGTTGTTGGGACTACAAAACATTACAAAGGGAAGCATCTCCTCCCTCATAAACAATGTTTGGCTGACACCATCACACATCGCACAAAAACTGACAGCAATAAAGTTGTATTTTGGTCTGCCATCAACACCCTGCACGCTACATTCTCCGGGTTACTACATCATGCACAGACCCTGAGGAGCCTGACATGTCCAAGAGATGGAACTGTATGAACGGACGTTGCGTGTAGAGTGTGCATGGACCACAGTGGGAGGGTCTCCTCCTGCCTGCCTACACACTTGGGAGATGCACTCACAAAGCCATCCCGCAAGGCGTTTCTTGGACTTCACCGGCCACACCATCCCGGAAGCACACAAAACGCCATTCAGTGCATCTGATGGGGGATATGCGTTCAATATAACATGCCAACGCGAGAACTGGGCAAAGCCAATGCAATTTTGCCTCCACGTCCTCCTCAAGGGGTGGGAGACAAAAAGCATCCAGCTGTATAACCCTAGACCTGAAAGAACTTCTTATGTTCTTAGGAACAAAAGAGGGAATTTGGTTTGAGAGTAACTGCAACTGGTGTGCATCAACAGGGTGGTTATATCACAGTCTTTCTTAGCTGAGGTCAGTGCAAGCATCAAAGCAGTGTTAGATAACACCTTCAGAGAGGAGTGGTCCAGAGGCTCAAAGGGATCCTTCACCACGGCCTTGAAAACAAATGGCAGTTCCCATTGAGGGGAGGAAGCACGCATCACCGGGCACCCGGTCTGTTGGGACTGTTGGGACTGTTGGAACAATGTGAGGTGTCCCAGATGCCGCCTCTGTTGACTTCCACTATAACGCACTACATGGAAAAAAATTAGCAATTGTTGCATCCATTGCTCATTTTTGTTCCCGATGCTTCATATCATTCCTGACAGGCCATTATAGGGCTGACGTTATGTGGTTCCGCATTGGATGACACGAGGTGTCTAAGGCAGCATGTGAAAGCTGTTGTCGAATAGATTGACCATAAGCTGAATCACTAGTATGTTCTACCAGTCAGCAACAAAACCTAGCAAAACAAACATTCGTCACGTCAAACATTATCCCATTAATATAGCCTTATTTCTTTTAAATTATATGCTTTGCACAAGACTGAGTCACAGCTATAAAACAGCGGTTCTTGATATGTGCACAAATATGTGCCTCCCTAGACTATGAGTTGCACTGAGTTCATGGAAACAAAATAGCAGAGATCCTCAGAGGTCTTTGGGGGATCATTAAAATGCACGTGTTTCATGATGTATATCTTGGTTTTCTCTATTTAGAGAGGGAAAGTGAAGCATTCAGAGCTCAGGCCACAGACCAGAGAGCCAGGGACCTACCAAAACACTTTTCAGGCCCATACAGACAGTATTTCAGATGCAAAATTAAGAGTTCTGCACTATATCTTCCCCAAACGGGACGCTCTGTTCTGTTCAGTGCTGACATACAGATTCCTAGTACTCTACAAAGTTGGACGCAGACAAAGTTCTCTGTGTCAAATTGAATGACAAAGTATTATGAATATCAAACTTTGGATCAGATTGCGTTATGATGTATGGGTGGGGCTATCCTTGAAATCCCTTTATTTGCAAGCATAATTCTTTACTGGTGATATCAATGCAGGGAGTGCCCCAAAAAGCGACCTCACACAGACAAGAAATGTGTGTGTACACCAATACACACACACACACACACACACACACTAAAATGGAGGAGGAACATGGCTACATAAATTTACTCCAAAGACAATTTATTATGTTTGTTCCAGTAGATAGTCTCTTCTGCTTGCAGGAACACTAAAGCTCATAATGACAGGGCGTGCTCAACCATGCCAATATATACCTATATTTGTGGCATAAAAAACATGCATTCATACATACGTACATGCATAATGTGGTATATGACCCAAGAATTTAGATTAGATTAGACTAGATAGGTACTTTATCAAACCCGCAAGGGGAAATTCCTGTGTGTCACCTCATTAATCCTAGGCAGCCTCAGCTCTGCTTTCTTTATTGTGTAACATCAGTTTTTTTGATAGGAAAACTGGAAGCTGATATTGTGCAACTTCAAAGCTATATTTCATCTGGCCGAGCTGAGGTTGGTGGTGCACAGAGAACAATCTTCACAGGCAGTCTGCCTCGGTATTAATTAAAGCACACCGTCCAAAAAGACAGAGTCAATCAAACACAGGTTATTGGACAGGGGACAAAAAAAGAGATGAGCAGTCTTCTGAAAATCCGTCTGAGGGAGTAAAGGCAGCATATTAGTGGATTTATCATTCTATCGTCAGCTTCAGCTTCGGATAATGCGTCAAATACAATATCTTTTCCTAATGGATGGGGGATGAGTAACGCCTGGAATTTCATTCCATTGCAGATAGGTAAAGTTTTCCTTCAGCCTCTTTTGAGACAGCTGCGGGTTAGAACATGTCGTCACCGATAATGGCAGCATAGTGGGAAAATGTAGGAGTTCTCTTCTGTTCATGAAAGAATCGTGCCCCGATCCCTAAACGTTGAAGACAATAAAATCAAACGGAGATCATAAATATAAACAGAAAACAGAAGTGGTCCTAAAGTAGAACCTGAAACAAACCTGACATGCTTCTAAAACAAAAAGACATGCAGTAACACAACCACATACCGTGTAAAAAACAACAGACAGACATTTTTACAAAATGGAATTTCCACAAGAATGTAACTATGATATACCAAGATACTTATACTTGACATATTACCAATGTTGCCCTTTTAATCTTACATTTCACAGGGTCAGAGTCCTAGTTTTGTTCTATTACAGTTGCATAGTTGTCAGTTCTAGCTAGGATTGTGTTGCGATTGTTGGTGAGATGAGCAAATGTACATGTTAAACAATGCGGACGGGTGTGTCAGTATGAACAGTAGTAGCATCTGTGTGTCTGGCAGCCAAATAGGCTGCACCCAGTTGATGTCATAGCTCTGTGTACTGATCTGTTAAGTAGTTGTCTCAGCCAGTGAAATAGTACAGTACATCTGTTCCACATACTGAACAAAGAAAATCTGAAGCTCCGCCATCCAGAATGTGGACGGACAGAGGGGAATAACGGCTGATGAAATTGTTTTTGGCAAATGTAGCTGTAATTATATGTAATTGAGTACATATCATCATCATCTCATGACAACAATGCGGTGTAATGAATCTGATGAAAGATACTAATATCCCTTTGAATCTTAGTCAAAAGTACAGCAGTCTAATGATGTACATATTGGAAGGTTTACAAAGATGAGCTGAAATTAAGCACAGAATTTAAAGAACACCACAGACACATGAGAAGAAAAACAAAAACTCTTTAAACTTGTATATATTTTTGATCTTTATTGAACCAACAACTAAAAGCAAATCCCTTATTTCTCCTATCCCATTAAAATCCAAGCCAGGGGCTTGGAACTGCTTTAATGAAACCTGCAGCAGCCTGCTGTAGTTACACAGTCATTTTGGGGACACTATGCACAGCAGCACTGGTGTCATGAGACAGACGGAGCCCCACTGCTGGATTGAAACAGTCTCAGCTTCCCATCCAGGCTTCCAGTTAGCAGCTAAGAGAGACAGAGAAAAAAACATTACGTTGAGCTTTTAGTCTTGTGGTTCAAACTCACACAGGCTCCGCCCCTTACCCCTTACGGTATGGGCCTCCGGTTCTGCAGAGTAAAGCCAATGCGGAGGTGTCTCTAAACTTACATTCTCTCTACTGACCAGTAGGGGGCGACTCCTCCGGTTGCAAAAATAAGTCACATTGAATGGAGTATAAAAAAATGACTGTACTTCTCACTTGATTTATTACCTCAGTAAACATTGTGAACATGAGTTTATGGTCTCAATCTCTAGTTTCAAGTCTTCTTCAAAACAGCATGATGTTCATTTACTAAACGATGGTCCATTTAGAGTCAAATACAACATGTACTCTTTAGCGCGGGCTTACTGTGATTGATAGGTCGCTGCTGCGAGAGACGTATACGTCGTCTCTATGCCACTCCTCCGCATTCCAAATATAATCAATTCCAAAAACCAAGATGGCGACAGCCGTAATCCAAGATGGCGACAGTGAAACCGCCAAACTAGAGGCTTCAAAACGGCAGTCAACAAACCAATGGGGGATGTCACGCTGACTACGTCCACTTCCTATATAGTCTATGGGAAGGACCAGAATGATCTGGGAGGGCTTAGACGATAATGAAATTCCGCCACTGATATTGCTTTAAAGGTGCAAGATTTAAGATTGGAAACCTTTCAACTGCCTCTGAAGGGCTCTCGACATGTCAATGCTGAGCTGGCGGTTTATAGCTAACGGTACTAACAGCACCTACAGTGCAAACTACAGCGAAAATGCTAACAGAGCTAACGGTGTTTACATGACGGGGAACTGGAGGGTAGGTGCTACACTTTCCGACAATGAGGTGTGAAACAATTTAGCACACTAAGGCACATCTTCACCACTGTTCCACCAGGGGGCATTTGACTTTTAAAAAATATATTTTGGCTGTCATGCTTTGTGATATTTCTGTTTACTTGTGAGATTAAATTGAATGGAAAGTCCTCCTGAACAAAACGAAGTAGCACTCCCTTGTTTCTTTTCTTCCTCTGTCACAGGTATGTGGTGAATGTACTGTGCGTTAGTGTGGTGAATCACCTCACACATCATAGTAGCATACATTACGTGCACGTGTCTGTCAGGACGGCTTCATCACCTGTAACCGCCTTATGAGAGCAGTGCAGAGCAGCAGCCCTGAGCTAACCAGTGGAGCACGTTCACATGTGCTTACATGCACTAAAAGCACACATGGACGGCACGGCTATGTCAGCAAAGCAAGGAGAAGCTTGGATAACAACACAGGCAGGGGAAGATAGATTTCCTTCACTGCTTGATTCTCTGCTCAGGACATTACTCCACTATATCTTTACTTACATAGAATGTTAAACACAGCTCCTTTAAGAAAAACAGCGGTGTGTGCGGGCTTTATATACTGTGGGGTCGGCACGTATTTGGGTAGTCACAACCTGATTGGCTGGCTACTCTTATGCAAATTTCCAGTCAAGGGTTCCGCCTGTGCTTATAGAACTAGAGTTACAGTATTGTAACCTTCAATATTTTCCAGGAACTGCATTGGCACACGACACTCTTGTTTTTACGACTTTCTATTTAGAGGACCAAGTTGCATAACAGCACTTGCTTCCTTAAAGAAGACTAGCATCACCACGGTCAAGATCCATAATGTGTTTGTCATGGAAATTCTTGATTTTCTATACTTGCCATATATCACAAGAAAACATAAAGCCTCATGGCCTGAACTTTGTAAAATAACAATGTTTAATCTTGAGGTTCCTGCCAGTGATAGTCATGGTGGGTAGACTATTTATACATTAACAAGGCACCCACATCAATATACTAACATTAACCCACAACCTGCACAGCTATTTAAGCAACACGTGTGCAAACACACACACACACACACACATACTGTAACCAACATGGGGATGCGATACACTAACAAGCACATATGTACAGAATCATTTCTTCACTATATTTCTTTGCAAGAAGGGAGCAGTATCTCATCTGTTTCTATGAGCCAGTAGAGAAAATGAGGGTGAGGGAGCATTACCTCAAACATCTGACAGCCAATCAGCAGCAATAACAATAGGAAACCCTCCATTTGGAGTTCAAAATGAGGGTCATGATATTCTCATATTCATATCGGCAGCTGCTCAAAGTAGAGAATATGATAGGATGGAGCACTCATTATTCAAGACAGCTGTTTACAAACGGCTCTATTTTCCCTTTATTTTCAACCTTACGTGTCTTGTAAGAGTGTGACAAACCATTTCAAATCAATTCCATCCTACTTTGAGCCAAGGTTATTTGTACTACACTTAATCCCATTTTAAGTCTGAAAGGACTTCACAAATCTTCACAAATCACGATGAAAACAACCCAACAAGTTGCAAACTAAAGGCTATGCTTGGCTGAATGTCACGATCTGCCGTGGAGCATCAATGTCATTTATGGTGATTTGTAGGTGGATTTTCAGAAAACTGGTTTCTTTTTTAAGTATACTAACAGCGGGAATTTTGGAAAACAGCAACTATTTGCCATTTGGCACAACAATAGTCTAACATTTTTTCCAACGTACTAAAGCTGTTTTATGCAGAAGAAATCCTTTTTTACCAACAAGCAGATGCCTGTGCTGGGAAAGGGAGTCACAATAGCTAAGGGCTGAGGATGACTGAACCATAGAAGAGGTTAAACTGGGGTGGATTAAATCTTCTTTTTACGAGTGAATGTTGTAGCCACTCTCCGATAGACACACAGAGGATTTGCAGGTGTGTGTGTGTGTGTGTGTGTGTGGAGCCTAAAAGACATGAGGATTTCTGCAAAAAGGTAGCCAAGTAAGCACGAACACAATACACCTACATAAGCATGTGTTATAACTTGTGTTTTTCAGCATATACAAGTGTTTGAGGCTCTCCCATGAAACAAACAGCTCATTTCACTTGCTCTTCTATTTTCAAGAAGTCTTCTTTCTCCATGACCTCCGCTTAATGACCTTAACCAACAATAGCCAAGCTGTCTGGGTCCTGCCCCCCCCCCCCCCCCCCCCCGGCTACTAAAATAGCTACTTAAAACACAAGAGGGTCGGAGAGCAGCTCCATTAGCAACTACAGCTCTATTCATCAACTACCTTCTCCATGTCAACATGCAATGTAGAGTTGAAGCTAAATTACAGATTTTCTAAACAAGGTGATAACACGAAAGGATTTTTAACGCCATACGCTCGCAGCAAACATCTGTAATCCGACACATTCCATCTCTGCAACCTTCGACCTTTGTTCAGTGAGGCTGAGGCAAGCTAAGCTGATGAGGACCGAGGGTTTTGGCTGACCTTTAAGGTCAGAAGTCAATACATCTTGAGAGCTGATTCCCTGTAGCTGTAACAGCAAGGGGTCATGCTGGGCCATCACAAGTGAGTTATTTGTCTTTCCTCAACATCCACTTCTAGGAAACACAGTTTTTATTTTGAAGATTTATTCACAATGTCAGATGTCCTAATGCATCATTTGACTTTTGATAATTTAATCATAGGTCATGCATGAGAAACAAAGCATATTTAAAATATCATTCAAAACATTTGAGCAACTCTGGGATCGTAAATCAGATTGCGAATTTGCATGGCGTGTCATAAATGTTACATAATCTAAGTTATTGTCAGGCGTGCTGGGCTCAATACCACAAATCAATAGTTCAAAGCAGGAATAAAAATCCTGATTATGAATACAGTCTAGGTTGGATTCCCAGTGGTGAAGACTGTGTGTCAAATATTGGCATTCTGGACAACAGAAAGTGACCGTCTGCAGAAACTGGTGACAACTGCGGCTTTGAAGATATGAGGAGCGATGTGTTTTTCCTCCCAAAGGATATAATTCATCAGTGCAGACTTAACAACTGCCAGCATACCAGGATGTTCTGTAGTGTACATGCTGAGAGCGGAAGGAGAACACATGAGAGATGGAAAAAGGAGCAGATGGTCACAAGGGTCACCAGTTTGATAAGCTTATGCACTGTCAGTGAAAGACATGTATAGTCTGTTGCTGGTGGTGATAGTTTTGGTGGTGACTTATGAACGGAGTCACTTTCTAACTTCCCTTAAATCTTCATGCATGCATGCGTATTAATATAAAAAGGTCTATATAATACTACACTCCAGCTAAGTTTTGTTTTTGTTGCCGTTAGAACTCCCTTTCTATTGTTTGTTATGTCTCTTATTTCCCCATTAACAATTAGGGAACTGATAATAGTCCAAATTGGTAAATGAAGGCAATGCTATATTGCCAAAGAATACACTTTTTTTTTTTTTTGAAATAAAAAAAATGTCCAATTGCAAGAGAATCTTCTGGGAAATAAAAAAATCCCATCACATTATTTTTCATTGAGAAATGTTTTATTAAGTTTGTATTAATCTAATCTTAGCTCTTATTCTAATCTTATGCTATTTTACACAGTTAGATGAGGTTATGCCATTTTCAGTTATTAAAGACATACTATGCGCTATCTAATAATGTTGTGTTCATGCCAACTATATATGTGCATATCTGAGCTAAATGTACCTCTATGCATTAAAGCTGCACAGACAAAATGCTGTTTGTCATTCCAATTTCATTTCATTCCCAGTGTCCCTCATATTTTGGGTAGTCAGGAAAAGGAAGTACTGTACAACACTATTAACCAACACCAACTAACCAACTAACCATGACCAACTGAGAAAATGCTGTCGACCACAAGTCAAAGGCTTGATACTTAAAAATTCCTCTTGCAACTGGACCCAAACTCTTTATTTCCTCACTTCCTGTTCATTGCCTTCCAGCTGTGTTGAATGCAGGCCAGTTAATTTCAGAGAGGCTGTCTCAGCTCAGTCTGTGTCTCACTCTAATGTGACATTCTGGAGCAGACAGCAGATTCCACCTCTGTATTTGCTGTCTGGCCGCTACAGTATGAAGAGAGCGTTTTGCTCTCTTGGGTCCCGGCAAAAAAGGAAACAAAGAGATAAAATATTAAAAAGGCCGAAGGAGTGTGTATAGCTTTTTCAAATGCCAAATGGCCACAAATAAAAGGATATAATAAAAAGGTCGAGTGGGAGTGCCAGCTGCATGTTATGCCTGCCCGCGAAGAGCAATGATGACACATGCTGACATATGGAGACAAGAGTAGCACTGAGCTTGAAAGCCAGTGAGATGATTCACTCTTTGTTCATCTTCCTAGTTTGGAAGATGGAACATGTTAACTTTTAGAGACAGCTGCTTGTGTCAATAAGCGGTCACAGACCTCAGTGAGTCCAGCACATGAAGTGCAAATGAGGGAAAAAGTTCTGAAACTTTTCACTTAATTAAAATACTTAAACGGACAACATTATATAATAGTTCTTGTTTCATTGTGAGGCTATTTTTGATTTTTTGAACAGTGGTTTCAACAACTTTTCTTATTATTTATAATAAATAAAAATGTAACAATAGTTTTATCAGCATTCAAGGCAGTTCACTGAAAACAAATTAAGGAATAAGGGAGGACACTCCACTGTCCCATAAAATAAATCCACTTCTAATATGCTGACCTTAGGCAAATACTACCAAGATATTTCCACTGCCGATGTGGAACAATGTAATTGAAGCTATCCATCCAGCTTGGGATGAGACAATACAGAACTCTGCGTAACCCAAATAGAGCACAGCCCTTTGAAATCTATTCTTCTAGTCTGACCTAGTAACCTGTTTGTCTGAAGTCATTGTTGATTCTGGCTACAGCATTTGGCTACAGCATTTTGCTTTGCCTTTACTTATGATCCTGAAGCAGTCCTAAAATCATTGGATGAAGCTACAGATTTAGGATTAACACTGCCTTGTTTCCAGGCTCTACTCAAATTAGACACAGCTTCTTTTGCCTTCCACAACTCTAATCTAAAAATAAATGAAAAAGGGAACAACCTTATGTGTTGAACCAGCAGAGACAAAATTACCCCTGTTGCAGGTGATAAAATACTTTGCAAGTAGAATTTGCAAGTCTACATTTATGGTAGCACATGTAGGTCCAACACCGGAGAGCTTACACAACTTTACAGAGGTATGCCATGTGAAATCCCACAAGATTTTACAAGACAACAAAGTGAAGAGACAGTAAAAGTTGGGATCTTTCATTACAGCCTTGAGTACAGGAATAAACCTGAGGGAATGAACCCCGGAGGTAGATCTGCCTGCTTGATGGTCTTTTAAGTATGAGGATGGAAAACATGAGTGAAAAATGAGTGGAAAATATGCATTGCATTATCTGTCTGAGCCTTGCATCGGAGGGTTCTCACAGCAACATCTGGATCTCAAATGTGGCTAAAAAGCAAGTCGAGCACAGGTTGGGGACACTTTTTGCTCGTATTTTTTCATGTTTTGGTCAGGAGAAAGTAATGTTACCATTAGGATATCACTTGGCTTTGGTCACAGTTAACTTTGACACTGACAAGCCATTTCCCAGGACTTCTTGAATTCCTAATACTTTTTTTACATGTTTCTATTTTGGCCAACAGAAGAAAATACAGATAGATATGTGTGCATCAATTCCAGTAAGACATTAGATCAACCACATTAAGTTTAACTAGCCAGGCACTTTAGCCAGGCACTAAATATATAAGTAGAAGATCAACTGTGTGATAAATAGGAAAGAAACACTTTTCAGCTCATATGAAGGAGAGCTTTCTGTAACTAATACTATGTATGTATGTATGAGCCATCAGAGTGCTTCATCTAAGAGCTGTATAGCAGGACCTTTTAGCAGGAACATGAAGCTGCAGCAACATACAGTTTGAGTTGGGATTGTTTTGTTAGACTACTTTTGCCAAGGATACAGATTGAAGTGAAGAACGAACTTGTCATAAAAGTGCCACGGGAGGAATCATGAAATCTACTGAGCGCACATGTCAAGAGATCCATCTCCATGTCAACTGAGCAAACTCCCTCCACTCATGTGATACGGTTAAAAGCTATAAGAAGACCGCAGGTTGGGATTGTTTTGTCAAACCTCCCTGAAATTAAACATGACAAAGTTCGGTCACAGGTTGTGAATCTTTCAATTTCATGCAGTTTTATCTCAATTTGCTAAGAATTTGAGAGGTCTTCCCTCCTCTAAGAGGTCCTGAGAAAGATGGGCCACAGTAAATTTTGATGTCAGTCACTGATCAAGAACAGCCCTTTCCCTTCGGGTGGACAGAAAAAAAAGTAGCTGTGCAGTGGTGAATACATATAACTGTGCAGCTGTGTGCTAATTGCATTCAGAAAGTTGCTTGGGAAACATTGGAGCAGACAGTTAATGTAATAAACTACAGCATTACCGGTTATTGGTTAGTATGAGAAGGCATGCTTATTTCATGAGCAACTATTTCTGTGTTTAAAATGATAATTAAATGAGACAGACAACCAATAAGAGATGATCTCATGAAAAAGATCTGATTGATACAATTTCATATATATTACCCAGAAAATGAAGGACATTACACTGAATAAAAGAAGGGTTTTGATTATTTGCACAAATGCAAACTGCAAATTTAGTAAGTCTTCATAGTTGTGTTCTAATGGATTAAATACATTTTCAACCTTTTTTTTGATTTGTTTATAGTTCCTGCCTTGCCCGCATGTCCTATCAAATTAAACACAATATGCAGAATTGCTGATGGGCAATGAGCAAGCCCTGAATGATGAAGTGTGTCTTCAAACTCTGCAGATTATTGCATTCAGCCAGTAAATGGCCACGGATCAAACTTTCCACTTTCAAACTTGGAAATCTGAATGTATCATTGTGCTGCAAAGTTTAACTGAATGGAGTTACACAGATGGACATGAAGATTTAAAACATGTGCCTCAAGTCCAACAGACAGTCAACTAGAAGTCTCATTAGACATCTAGCAGAGGTTGTGATGTTATATTCTAAAACGCTTCTTTGTGAAATCCATTTGCTTTGAACAGTTCCAGACGAAAATCATTAAGTGACCAATAAATACATTTCCAAAGGGAATGTTGCTAAGTAAGAAATGCTCTGGAGATTTTGAAAGGACGTTGGTACAAATAGAGCTGTACATTTTGATTTGTTATTTTCCTGTAATGGCAATTAAAAAAAAAAAAAAAAAGTTTGTCCTTGTGTTAAGCTTTACTTTATGTTTTCCTTGGTGAGACCATACAGTTCATGAATTTGCCTGGATATCTACCAGTTTAGATTGATATTATGCCAACAGCGTTGACTTAATTATAGACAGTAGGGACAACCTGAAGTAAAGAGATCACAAACTGAAGCATTCAAAGCATTTCTACATTTGGCAATCACACAGAGCTATCAATATTGAATATCCATTAAGACACAGTAAAACAAAAATGACACAATATTAAACTACAATGGATCCATATTTGAGTTTCAGAGTTGAGTTGTGCTTTTTATTATTTTTAGCTTCATTAGACATCAGCAGAAATTCTGCGAGGTCACTGACATACAAGTCCACTCACCCTGAACTTTGGGATGGTCTCAAAAAACCCTGCTATGTGACCTCAGCCTGAGGACATCATTCCTTCATAATCCACTTGTAAACTTACACACAGTTGGAGTTCAGAGCTAGTTGAGCTGGTTCAGGTCTGTTTAACTAACGGACCCTTTTAAATATTAGTGAAAATTATGACTTTTAAACCATGATATGTGATTTTTTTATAATTTGAATCAGAAGAAGAACGCTCAGAAACATACCAATATTTCTATTTGTTAACTATCACAAAGTGCTCTACGTATTTGTACTGTATCCTGAGATTCTATGATTTCTTTACTTTACTTTACTTCCTCAGGGAAACTTAAGAGGTGAAGCAATTTCTTGGACTGAAGAAAACATGACCTCTGAATGACACTGCTTTTCACCGTGAACTCATATCTTTGCTTTTGGACATTTTCCTTTCATACCTGTTTGAGATGTTTGAGATAACGATTAAACTGATGTGCAAACATAATCAGGGGAGGAATGGAGGGTAAACACACATTAACACTTTTGGCTTGCATGTCCCCTGGGGTGATTATGCAAAATGAACCTACTGTAGGTCAACATCTGGAAAGTAAAAAACAATCTCTGGCTTTACTTCAGCTGTCTGATATCTGATGTCAATACATTTAGACAGTTTCAGTAAACTATGGTCAATAGCTTACTGGGATGTAGAGAACAAGCCTATATTTTAGATGAGGTATTTCTGTTCTGGTAGATGGGGCATTACATGAATGATTAAGGAGTAACAAGAGACGGGGAATAACAGAACAGCAAAGACAAAAAGTAAAGACAAGTTCTTACCTCTGGTGTGGCAGGGTTGAAAGCCACACTGAGCACCGTGTCTGAGTGCTTTTGAAGCTTGTGGAGGTAGCTGCTGCTGCGTATGTCATAAATGTATGCCTAAAATGAATGAGATAGACTACATGAGCAAAAGCAGGTATGAACTGTAACCATGCAGTGATGAACCAATATAGAACATGTATAGAAGTAGTTCAATTGAGCCTCATAGAGTAGCTCAATATACTGTACTGTATGTACATGATACATACAATATGCAAGTGTGTTTGGACTGAACAAGATGCACAAATGAAATATGGTTAACTACAGACAAAGTCAACAGAAAGACACTAGCAGACATGAACAGATGTGGATATACTTTAGGGATCATTTCAACTTTGAGGGAAAGTTTAGGGTTTAAGTTTTCATGAGTTTGAGCCGCAGCACATACATACAAAAGCCCACTTCAAACACATGCAGTGGGTGTGTGCACAGCTAACATCCATACTGTCACATCCATTGGTTGTTTGGGGAGAATAATAGAGTATTCTGTCACCTCTACTTTAAATCATATTTTAGTGCCCGGTGAAGCGTGCCTCCTTCCTGCAATGGGACCTGCCATTTGCCATCTAGGCCTTAGTGAAGGATCCCTTTAAGCTTCTGGAGTGCTACTATCTGAAGGCGTTGGTAATTGCATCTGCTTTGCCCAGTTTGTGTGTTGGCATATTATGTTAAAAGGCACAGCCCCCATCAAACACACTGGATGTTTGCTTCGAGATGCTGTGGCCGGTAAAGCCCTATTCAAGAAACGCCTTGCGGGATGGCGTTTTGAGTGCATCTTCCAAGCTAATAAGCAGGTGGAAAAAGACCCTCCCACTGTGGTCCGCGCACACTCTAAAGCAGCGTGACGGAGTCGGCAGCTTTGTTCGGGTGAGTCAAGGACATATATACGACGGCAGCGGGGTTGACGCCCTGCCCGTATATATATGTTATATATGTTATATCTGTATATATATTGTATATGGTTCTATCTCATGAACGTGTTAGGCTCCTTTTCAGGGTGTTGAATTTACACTTGGTCTTGTGTGCACAATAAAACATTTGTACACCGCTTGTGTAGACATCTTTGAATCAACACTTCAATTTGAAATCTTAGAATACCTGAAATATCTAATGTTTCATCAGCTTGTTAGCACCATACAAACTTAATACAATCAGTGAGTTTTAAGTGCCATTTGTGTGCTTCAGTGCCATGAGTACAGATAAAAGCAGATGCAGGGATGTTTGTTACCAGACGACGACTCATCAGATTCCTGCAGCTGTTTTGTATTATGTTTCCCTGAAAAAAACGCTTCAAAAGTCCGTGGGTAAAGTGTCTCCTGTCTGAGGCATATGACGTGTGTGGTAACATGCAGGGTATTAGATACTTGGAAGAAATAAGTTCTTTCAGGAATGCTTAAATATCACATGGATCCCCAGATGTATCAGCTTATATCAACTGTAACTGAAGCTGAGAGCAGGGATAACACTGAACGAATAACAGGTTAATATTGACCACATTGAGATAATATTCCACTTAGATTGTTTTTGGCCTTGTGTTTTTTGGAAAATGTGTAATATGATCTAGGGAGTCTTTTTAAAGTATTCGGGTTCTTTTTTTCCATGATTGCTTTTTGATATATTAAGACAAGTACAAATGTGTCTGGCTTATGGAAGTCTCAGGGCAGCTACAAATAAATATGGTGTAGCTAACTACCATATACTCTCCCGATTTCCAAGAAACGTTGGAAATGTCCAATCTCGACAGAGATGCTCTCAAATGTCCGTGCTGTGCCGAGTCCCCAGAATTAATAATAACCAGCAGCATGCATATATTATTCCACTGCTCTCAATAAGCACATACACCAGAAGAAAAGAGAGATGGATAAGGAAAAGGGAGGCAGTCTTCTGAAAACTTCTTGAAAGCAAGTATAAGTCACAGTCTGGAAAAGCAATTAAATAGTTCTGCTTCAACATGAAGGTTGAATTTGACTTGGAAAAAGGCTCGAGTCAAGCACAAACAGTCTTCACCTTAAATGGAGATGAAACTGATAAAGAAATGCTGCTGTTTTCCTGCTGTCCTTCTGCTTTACGAGGCAGAGTAAGACATAAACAATATAAAGTATATCCCATAAAATGTATTGTAGTCAGAATACTTTGCCATTTAAGCCTCAACCACAGTTTATAAGTGGCTTTGACGGGCAGAAGCCTTAATTAAACCACATTCAATCTTACAAAAATGAAGAAGAAAAAAAACAATTGCTGATTATCAAAGTTTTCTTGTCAAATTGTACTTTAAGAAACTGACTGTCTGGGATACAGTATGTACAGAGAAGTCTACACACACACTGTAAAGGGAGAGACAGATATTCAAACTTACGCAGTTGTCCTCAGAGCCTGAGGCAATGAACCGGCCACATGGTGATATGGCTGAAGAGCATGGATGGCAGCGATTTAGATGGTTCTCATAACGCCGTACACACCTGAGAAAGAGATGCACACATTGGTGAGATATTGTGAAGTTTACAAACTCAAACCAACCTGATGTGCAGGAATTAACATTTGAAATCTTAGTTGCTCTGGGTCCCATTGGTATTAAAACTATATCATTTCTGGTTTGTTTCCTCGCAATGGTCATATTAGGAGCTCATAATATATATACTTCATATAAAATAACATCCTTTAATCCATTGGAAATTATTTTACCCTGAACTCTGTGTGCCAGGAAAAACTGTAGACAATAAAACACTGCTTGAAAGTGAGCCATCTTTGGACTGGGAATGAAAAGCATTTCACACACGAGTGCAGCCATCTTTTGTGATGTGGTGTGATGTTAGATGAAGATGCAAAGTCTATATAGAATGCTGAATTCTGGCAGGAATTACCAAGGAGCAGAATGCCACCCTGCAGACTTCCGGTTTTACAAAGAACTGAACCAGCAGAAGACAAGTAGTTGAGCATGACTCCAGCATAACCAAGGAAAGAGAAGGTAGATGATGAACGGCCCACTTCTGTGCAGTTTCTTTTGCTTTGGAACAGCATGTAATCTCTTTACAATGCCACTATTAGCTCGCTGAGCTAGGGTCTCTGTATGGGCTGGCATGTTGGCAGGGCTTTGACAGGATATGGTGAGAGCATGTCTTTGACATTCACATGCTAATGTCGTTAAGCTTGGCTAAAAGTAGGTCATATTCACTGGTGTTCATAAAGACATATGATATACCCAGTACGGTGAGCAAGTCAAATAAAAGCAAGCAATAGAAACTAACTTTATGACGCTTATAATGCTGGAGCAACCCATAGCCTTGACTGTGGAGATGATTGACTGGTGCTAAGAAAATACTGAGAACAATTTCATTTAGATTTTGTAAATGCTTTTCAATGTGTCCAGTTCAGCTTGAATATACAGGATACACCTATGCCCAACAGGTTTATATTATCTGAGAGCTACTAATGAAAACCTCTTTTCATTTTGATGCATAGCAAGATGGGCGAGAAGCATCTGTTTCTAAATCCACTTTAGTACATCTGGACATTCAGGTCTGCACAACCTGTCATCATCAAACTGATAAGAAACAGTTTAACAAGTTAGAAATAAACACATATCTAGGTTTTCTAGGTCAGAATTCTCTGTGTTGTGTGAGTGATGATGACTTTTTCCTGATGACTTACACAGACTGCATCGGAGGGTCTGATTCTCTTGAGTGGAAGCCTGTACGGTTCCTGACTCCACCTGGGTATTCAGTGTCAGTCATTAAGGTCATCAGCTGGCTAATCATAGCTCTTTATTTGCAGCCAATATATTTCACCCATTTTAACTGTGTCTGAGCAAATCAGGCAAAAGCTGCTTTTTCTTGTACTATTCGATATTATTTAATACAAAGGCATTATTGATCCATTCAGTCACAATGTTAATTTATCAGATGATGGCAATTCCCTCCTTTAAAGGGAATACATCACTGGACTAAAGAGACACATCTGTTGTCTTTGTCTTTAGAACTGGTATCCGTGGGGACTGATTTTAAACTATCCTAAATACTGCCATGTAGACCCCTAAACCTGAACCTTGCACACATTTGGAAATGCAAAGGGCGAGTGAAGGCTTTAAAAAATAACTGTTACCAATCCAGTGCCTTACATTACTTATAAAACTCTTTCTTTAAGTGTTGCAAACTTTCAAAAACCATTATCTACATTCAATCTTCTATAGATACACATGGGCATCATACATGTTTGTGCTTTTGTTCGAAAAGGAAGACGCAAGAAGGGCTGGGGATTTCCATGTGAGAGAGCAAAACAAAATGACGATTGAGTTTCAGAAGCACTGAGTGAAATGTGTATTTCCCATTGTGGTTTTTATGATTGAAGACAAAATACAGTATTAACCCCAATTCTGTCCCAACTAATAAGACCAAATAAGTGCCTAAAAATAGTGCCTAATAAGATAGGTGATTGGTGCGTAACAGTAACCACAGAGCAATAATACAAGAAGAATTTGAAAATAGAAAATATGAAGATTTTCAATTGAATATACTAAACAAACAAACAAATGAGAGTATGTCAAAACAAGTATGCTATTAAAGTGTCATGTGTATATTAACAGAGAAAAGAGGTGCAAAGGTGTAACTGTAAATTGTCCTGGGGATGTAAGTGTCTGAGTCAGTGGAGGTCCCCGGGCATTATTGATGAACCCAACTGCAGATGGGAAGAAACTATTTTTGTGGCGTGGGGTCTCCTGCCAGAGGAAAGGGACTCGAATAATCTATTAACTGTTCTGTAGCTGGGTAAAATAACCCACACAGTCATTCATCAGCAGTGTTTATGGACAAGCATGATAAAGACATAAAACAACTCGGTAACACTTTATAATAACTACACACTATGAAGCATTAGTTAAGTATGAGTAAACACTTAATTCATCATTTATAAAGCATTGTTCCTACATTAATAATTCATTAGTATGCAGTTCATAACAACAGTTATAAATGTTTTATTCTTGATTAATAAGCCGGTCTATTATGTGTTTCATTATTGTGTTTTCATACTTTATAAATGATGGATTCCCCATTTGTAAATTAAGTATTATATATTTTACAAACCAATTATTAAGGAGTTGTAGATGATTAATACAATAATTTAGTGCCTCAAAACACATGTTCACGTTTTGAACATAAAAGGCAGATAGACACAACACAAAGTGATCAAGAACATATCAATATTTATTGCAAGATGCAAAGAATATACTGTTAAATACAAACCTCTCAGCCAATCATTCATGTAAGAAACAAACAAACAAAGACATTCTCCTTCAGGAGAACATGGCTGGATACAAAACATTTGTAAATATACGACTAGACCTAACTAGGAGCTTTGTATATTAGTTTACATTTACTTATTTAATTATTCATTTTAACCAAGCATATCGATCTCATTCACATCCACTCCACATATAACAGCTCGTTAGCCATCTGTCACCTGGATTGCTCTATTTTTAACGGAGGTGACGCGTTAGCGTGCGCCTGTCTCGGGACCTCTAGTGTTAGCTGGAAGGCGAGCTGGATACTCATCCTCCATAATGTGTAACGTTACGTGCCAGCAAACTAAGAAACAAACAGACGGCCATTGGAGGCCCGTCAGCAGCCATTCTTTCTGGCCCGGATCCGCGCCTCCTTTCAACTTAGGTCGGAGTTTTAGATCGCGTAAGTGCACTACCAGTTCCTGAGCGAAACATTTGTCCCAAAAAGAGTCTGTACAATCTTTTCACATCGTACTGTAAATGGGTCGTAATGTGTGGAGTTTTGTGAAAACTGTGCCATGGAAAACATGGTGATCGCTGAACTAGCAAACAGTGAATTCATAAAAGAATTCTTAAAATAATTCAAAAAATGCCATTGAGAAGAGAATGGAATGCTGGATGGAACATGCATGTTCTGGAATAGAATTAGAATGTTGACGTGTCACAAAGACCTTTAGTCTTGCCTCTGCCATATGCAAGATTCATTTCCCAGGCTTCTCGGGGAGAGACAGTCGCGTCTCTTAACTCCTGCATGGTGTCGCTGTGTTGGACTGCTGTTTCAAGAGTGTCGATGGAGGGCGGTCTGTATTTAAATCATGTGCCAACATGCGTTAGGGTACTTCGATTAACTTAGAGAGCTTTGCTTGTAGGAGGGATATTTTCAAATATAGTATTTATAATTATACAGTTGTAAAATTATTAACTAACTATGTCAAATGTTGGGATTTACTCTAACCTCCTACATTAGGACAGTGTCTTTATGCTCTGATTCACTCACAGGTTATGGATCATATTTATATCTGGCACTGGGCATTGGCCACTGCCGCAATTGTGGCATATGCATAGAGATTCCATGGCTGCTTGTTCTGATGCTGACAGTGAGCGTTTGAACTGTCGGGGAGAGACAGTTCTTACATCCTGCATGGTTCGCTGTGTTGGTCAACAGGCTGCTGTCAGTGTTAATAGTGGGCGGTCAGTCTTCTTCCTCAAGTATGTCATATGTTAGCCTGCGTGAGGGTACTTCAGGTGTCCGATGTAAGATGATGGGGTAATATACTCTCACCAAACTCCTGTCGTGTAAACCAGTAGCATATCTGACCTGTAACATTGGATTCAGAATAGATTTTGTCCGTTAGTACTTTTTTTAATTTGGCTTAGTATGTTTGGTGCCACCATGATAATTTAAGCATTACCAAATCCTTTTTAATGGATTTTTAATGGTTTTTATGCTCTCATTCTCACTCTTTGTGCTTTCTCTCCTCGCGGTACCATTAACGCACATTGCTGACTTTGCTCCTCCACCGGAGTCTCTGTGCTTTCCCACCTCGCAGGTTTCTATGGATCCTGGCGATACCTGGACACTGGTCTTGCCTCCTGCCGTGGCTCTGTCATATACTGTACATTGAATGTGTTGTAACTCTGTAAATGTTGTTCATTCTGTACACATGACATCTATTGCACTTCTGTCCATCCTGGGAGAGGGATCCCTCCTCTGTTGCTCTCCCACAGGTCTCTTCCTCTTTTCTCCCTGTTAACGGTGTTTTTGGGGGAGTTTTTCCTGTTCCGATGTGAGGGTCCTGGGACAGAGGATGTCGTATGTGTACAGATTGTAAAGCCCTCTGAGGCAAATTTGTGATTCGTGATTTTGGTCTGTACAAAAATAAATTGAATTGAATTTAACCTGCGCCTACTGTTTTCAACAACTCCACAGAAGACACCTGGACAGCTCTGAGGCAATATCTAATTTGCGCTATTTAGTGCCATATATATAGTAACAACGTCTCTGTGTAGTCAACAACTGTCAAATCAAATAAAGAAAGTACACATCAATTATATTTTAACAATTATTATTCTCAGTTTTCCAATTTAACTGGATGGATTATAAATAATATATAGAAATACATAAATAATGCATTTCAAGTAAAATAATGGCTCCATCTAAAAATGAAAGGGTGAGGGTTACCCTCACCCTTTTACACATCATTTCTGTATTTAAGTACACGGCTGTGAAAATACGTAATTATAAAGATAGTTACCTAAATACAGTAAATCATCTGAATCATGGTATAATACTGGCTGCGTTTATTGGAGATTGTTTTAAATGTCTGTTAGATCAAATGTATTAAGAGTCTTTAGATGTACAGAATTATCACATGGCATTTCTGCTTATGTTCATAACCACATCTTGGCCAGATGAATGTAATGGCAACCTTTATATTCCAAATGAGATGTTAGCGCAGCGCTCACTCACTTTAACTTGCTAAAGGACGAGACAGGCCGAGGAGAACGTTTGTTCTTAAAGCAATAGTTTGACTTTGTTAAGTACTGTCTTTGCTCTGTACTGCATTGTGTCTATAGGAATACATCATTGCTGTGCTGTGTTGTAAGATTGACAATAAAACAATGAATTCCATTTGGTCGTTGATGAAAAGGTTAGGATGCTTGAAATAAGAAATTCTGACTTTGACAAAGACGTTTTGTACTTGTCAGTGGTGATCAAACAGCCTTATAATTATGGCAATTCTAGTTTCAAGCATTAACTTGCTCAGAACCAGTAATACAATCTCAGTAACAAGTTATAATACCTTATTAAGATAATTAAGGACTGAAGCGCTTGAAACAAGTGAAATGCTCGAACATAAAAACTGTAAGAAGAAATATCTTGTCAGACAAAAAACAAGCATATATTGCCTTGATATATGCTTGGTTAAAATGAATAATTAAATAAGTAAATGTAAACTAATATACAAAGCTCCTGGTTAGCTCCAGTCATATATATTTACAAATGTTTTGTATCCAGCCATGTTCTCCTGAAGGAGAATGTCTTTGTTTGTTTCTTACATGAATTAATGGCTGAGAGGTTTGTATTTATCAGTATATTCTTTGCATCTTGCAATAAATATTAATATGTTCTTGATCACTTTGTGTTGTGTCTATTTGCCTGTTCTGTTCAAAAACTGTGTCTTGAGGCACTGCTGGCCCTTCAATGTCATTTATAAATGCTTTGTAAGGCATAAATAGTCCTCACTTTAGATGAGGTCACACAAAACACTTTACTAACGAGTAGTAACTACCTTAATAAATCATGAATTAATCATGAATTGCAGTATTAATATGCTTTTATAAAGCATATATTAACATAGTCCCTAACCATTAGTGTATATCTAAATCATTATATATATATATAAATGCATGAATAATGTACATCTAAATAAGTTATTCATCATTTACTAACACTTTATAAATTATCTTATTAATCATCTACAACTCCTTAATAATTGGTTTATTAACTCATACTTAACTAATGCTTCATAGTGTGTAGTTATTATGAAGTGCTACCAACAACTCTGTTAATGACTCTGATTGCAAAACAATTTGGCAATGAACCCCTACAAAAATTGAATTACAAACCCGGTGTAATGTTAGCAAGTGTCCCGTCGAAAAAGTGAGAGTGTGAGTGACGGTAAGTATGAGGTCAGCAGTAACGTTACAGCTGTGAATGTAGCAGTACAGTGTGCGTATAATTTATTTCTCGGTAAATAAATGATTCAACTCCTCAAGACCCGTGAGGAGATACAAGCTTTTACCGTGTCTTGCTTTTCAACCAGCTGATGATTAAAGTGATGGGGATTAGCCCAAAGTTAGCAACAGCTCCGACTCAGGCTAACATGAGGTGGGTTGACCTTAAAGGTGGACCAGCTATTCTTCTTTAACTGTTTAAATAATAGCGCAGTTAAACTAATTTGTTACAAGGACATCTCATGAAAATGAAACACGTTTTCATATCATTGTTACAACTGTAATGGTATTATTAAGAATTTATATCGGTATACGGCAAGTACTCAAATATAAGTACTTTGCATTGTTCCAATTAAAAGAAAAAGCTACGCTCAATAAAATAATCTGATTATTATGAGGAGCAGCCACATGACCACCTTATGTAAGTTTCACTCATGCAATTCATTGTTCCAAGAACTTTTTTATTTGCCTTGTTATATCATGAGGAGATTCTGGTGAACATAAAACCTAAAAATGACTTAACTACTTCAATTAGCGGCAACCTAATACATCAAAAGTAATACCTTTAAGTTAGCTGTAACAGAAACAGACACGTAAGGTTCATCAAAGAGGGAACCCAAATTAAAAGAAAAAACACCCGCTTCTACATATTGTTTCCATACATCCATAAGTTTCACTTCAGAGGACCTGCATCTGCTGAGGAATGCTTGATGACAGCTCTAAGAACCAGAAGTTGACCTGGAAGCCAGGTACAAATATTTATCAGATAGAAATACGGATTTGATTCTGGGGAGAGGAGTTAAGGATGAAAGCAGTCTCACACATGAAAGAATGAAACACTCAAAAATGCCTTCTACCGGGCCAAAAAGAACATTTTGAAATCCAAGAGAGCTTACTTGAATTATCCACCTTATATGGAGCAAAAAATAATTCTCAGCTATGTACTTTGGAAACTGCACAATTGCAGATTCAATCATCAACTGAGGAATGTTTGCTTAAGAAATGTTTTATGTAATTCAAATATAAGGTCATTTTGCACTCCCAGGAATAGCAAAGGGAAAAAAGCAATATCGGTTTCTTCCTTAATGTACGAACATGTACTGTCCTTGGAAAATTTGACAGATGTGATGAAGCAACCCTTCAGCCAGTGTGAGTAGCGATTAAGACTGTAAAGCCACTTTCATTAAAGTCACTCATCATAGTAAATGTAATGGGTTCATTTTTCTGTCAGAAACAGAAAAAAGAAATACATAAAGTACATATTATCATAATGTTTACCTGTTATAGAGGTTTCATTCAGGTATTACAAATGCCTTTCTGAGGCAGTAAACGTGAATGTACAGGACATGACCATTTAATTGCACTTTTGTTGCCTTATTTTCCCATGTAAAATTGCATTGTAAACAAATAGAATTAATAGAATAGACTACATTAAAACCAACCTCAGTGTACGGAGGTCCCACATCTTCACACCATCCGTGACTGCACTAGTGAGGAAGAGGTTGTATGAATCCGGCGCTTGTGTGCTGAACATGGAACCCTGTGAAATACACATACAAAAAAAAGACTGTTTGAGTGAAATAGGTTGTAAATCTTCCATTATTGTCCAGTACTGGAAAAGTTTGTTGCTGTATATCCAATATTGGAAAACAGTTTTCACATTACTATTGGAGTCACTATTGCATTATTAGAACCTAAAAGTAGAAGGTGACATTTAAGACAATATAAGCCCAATAAGGCTGCAAGGAAAACTGGAATGAAAGCAAAATTGTTGTTAATTTGTCTTTGTGTCATTTTCCATCTTTTATGCATCACACTGAGATATGCTTCAGCTATAGACATATAGACTTTCCAGTGCTGAGCGAGAGAGAGAGAGAGAGAGAGAGAAAGAGAGAGCGAGAGAGAGAAAGGGGTGTTTTGTTTAGACTTCCATTAAGAGTGTGAGAACGGGAGTCTGAGAGGGCATTTCCAGTTCCATTTTTCCGAGAAGTCCTCTGCTCTGATGAGTTCCAGCTGAATTTTGCAGAAGAGGCGATGGAAATTTGAAGTGGGAAAAGCTGCTTCACATGCTGCAGTTCCTGACGTTTGATCCACCTCTCGACAAGAAAGCAAGAGTGGAGGGAGGACTGATGTTATGTGTGCAGTCTCCAGGCAGGGGCAATCCCTCTGATCCGCAGGTATTAATCCTACAGCATCCAGAGGCCCTCGGGCACCTGGGCAGAGGACCCCACATTGACGCAATAGCCAAGCTGAAACAACACACTGCAGGCTTTCCATAGCATGTGGCACACAATAGCTGGCGTGACAACGAACAGGCACCTCTTGGTCGAAAGGAGTATAGACAGCTGTGTGTGAGAGTGCATCACAGTTGGATGAGTTGATGCATTTAATCCATGCCACTAGCTGCAGTGTGTCAAGCTAATCCAGGCTGGCCTTGAGTGTCAAGTATGCACAGGTCAACACCCCAGGGTCACTGGGTACGAGCCCCCCTCCCTCTCTCTCTCACAAATATAGACTTTTCAGTGTTCCAATAACTTATATAAGCATCTGTACGATTTCAGTATTTTAATGATCAAAATAAATCGTGTTGTTGCCATTACAAAGCTGGCAAACATTAATATGACTATACAAGGAGAGAAACCAGGACCTTCATTTAATAGCTGCACAGAAATGTAAATAGTACGCAGAAAACCCAGACTTGCATGAATTTATTACTGATATTTAGAGTTTCACTTTGATTGATGCAGTACTTCATTCTTCATAGCACTATAATGAATGTCGATACAAGTCCAAGCTGTCTACTTATTAGACACCAGCAAATTGGGCCCACATTGGTCCAAGACAGTGATGTGGGAGTAAGGCCACATAAACCCAAACTGCATCATGGAACAGCATTCCTCCAAGGCCAGCATGCTCTCCGCCTGCCATCTCCTATGGCAGTCTTAATCCCGGGGCACCAGGGATTTACGATTAAACACTCAGCAAGATGAATGATAGTGATGATAGCATGTCCTGTCCTTCTGTCATGGAAATTTGGGTATTTTTTTCCTTTTTTTTTTTTCAACCATGACCTTCTTCATTCACACCACAAACTAACACTTTTATTCCCTCAAAGATGATCTGCGCCTTATGTAACTCGCCGGCACTCATAGAAGTCTTACGTAAGACTGTGACATCTGCCAAATAGTTGACCCTTCAAGAGTAAGATGGAAGATGGGGCTCATACAAACAAGTGATGCCAAGCTAAATCTTTGCCGTGTGGATCAGGCCTAAATGTTACTTAGTCAGTCTTAGGAGTGATGAGATGTCTTTGAGTTTATCCATTCACAAAGGTCAGAGGTTGTCGTAAACTTTAGTCAAACTACAAATAGAAAAAAAGTTTCTGAAGCAAATTTAACAAAAAAACGTACATGTCTGACAATTTCTTATCTCTGAAGACTGTAAGAATAATGATCTTGTACTGTATGCCACCTCACATATTCTGTCATCTGACACAGAGAGAGAGAGAAGGAGATAATCTAATATATAGGCGATTGAACTTTGTTTAATTCTTATTTGGGCAGTCAGGAACGTTTAAATGGTCTTACCTTGTTCTGTGTAATGCAGTGGACCACTCTGCTGTGGGCATCAGGGAGCGTTGAGGCAACTGTACCCTTGTTCATATCAAAAACCTGAAGGGACCGATCTGAACCACACACCAGAACAATGTCTGAGACAGCTTTTAAGAAAAGTTATGACATGTATTATTTACAAACTATAGGCATGCTGTAGAGATGTGTGATGTGTACGTTTTTATGATGTTTCAGTTCAAAATCACTTTTCTAGGTCAAAAAATAATAACTTGGATAAAGAATATCAACTTTTCATAGCTTCAGTTTGCTTTTTTGCATATATATACACACGTATACGCATACGTATATACGTATATACATATATATATACATATACATATATACATATGTATATACATATATATACATATACATATGTATATACATATATATACATATACATATGTATATACATATATATACATATACATATATATACATATGTATATATACATATACATATATATACATATGTATATACATATACATATATATACATATGTATATACATATATATACATATATATACACATACATATATATACATATACATATATACATATATATATATACATATACATATACACATATGTATATATATACACACATATATACACACATATATATACACACATATATATATACACACATATATATATATATACACATATATATATATATACACATATATA